TGGTCCACTTTTCAACGTTTCTGCTTTTTAGAGTTCAAAAACTTCAAGTTTATCTGACATTCCATCTTGTATTCAGGTTTGCTATTATATCAACTCCTAAAACCTAGTGATATTAATAATTTGTTTTATTTGTAGTCTAAAACTTTGGCCAAAAGGTAGACGAATGACTCTCAAAGGTATTTTTATTTTTTATCTCTGAAATGTTATCACTGCAATATTGCACTAGTAGAAGAAATACAAAATCATTCACCCGTATATGGAACCGTTTAAGAGAATATCAGAGTCATTGAATCTGTTTTCAGTCTATTCAAATCAAATGCGCACTTTTCATCACCTCCAGTAGATCTACTGCAGCACACCTTTATTGCGACGATTAGCCTGGCAACAGGCGAGTGAGTGACTAAAACTGCATTTTAGTGTAATGTCAGCCATTACTCAGGGCCATATCACTGATATTTTCCACCAATTTTTGCTGCACATTGTCGTTTACTGTGTGATAAGAACCACGCAACATCGTACTCAGTACACAGCTACATTGATCTCTCCTCGAGATAGTCTTTAGCCAAGTGTCAGTGTGCTTCAGTGTGGAGTCAGTCAAAGTCGACTGCAGTCAACCCAACTGTATCGATAACTTTTGATTATTATTTGAAGCATTTGCTTTCCGTGCTGATGGCAGTGGCACTGCGGCATTCCACTAAACTTGCTTTGTACTTTCGCTTCTTTTTAACTTGGGTTTTTTGTCTCACGATAAGCCTCGACGACCAAAACTGATAAAGGGCACGATTCGGCTCTGCCACTGTCGGACAATAACAACAACAGCATCCGCAGTGGCCACCACAACTGCCAGCACCACCACTACCACCAGTTGCCCGAGCACTAGTGCCCGTCTGCAAATGTTTGGGGTTGAGGCGACCAGAAAACGTGGACAGACAAAAAACTCTGGTGGGCACAGTGTGCAGCAGTAGTGAAGTGAAAGGAGGCGAGATAGTGTCAATTGGCAGGCGACAGAAAGTGAGGGGAGGCACGGGTCGATGGTGATGCGATTGTCTCCCTCAGTGTGTGATTTACTTTTACCCTTACCTAATCATCGCCCAGATCGATGAGCTCACTTTCTCTGGTAGGGATCAGTTGGACTCGACTGATGCAGGGAGATGACTGAGTAATAAAAGTGGACCACCAGCACAAAAGTGCGTCTTCGACGCTCAGCCGGCCAAACAGTGATTTGTTCAAACTTCAAACTATCTTGGGCGCATTAAGGCCAATTCAAAGTATCACTACCGGCCATCACACTAGGAAATGCTGATGGTGAGAAGAAGCAGGCAAGAGTGATCAGCAGTGTTTACCAGTAGTACTTTTCCACTGCAAGCAAGTTAGTCACTTGTCGCCTCTTCCAGCAGCACCTTATCGATCCCCCAGTGAGCCTTATCCCCTCTTCAAACAAATAATCTTAATCACACTCCCGAAACCGAGTGTCCGGTATGAAACTGAGCGCGCGCACACACATTTGCTAACACTTCGAGCAAGTCATGCCAAAACACTCTTTTTGTCGGTTTTTTCCGTCGAAGAAGAAAGTTTCGAAGTTCAACTCACCACCACTAACCAGTAGCTGTTTTCTCCTTTCAGTTCATCGACTCTTCAGTACAGATGGTGCAGAGGAAGCCAGTTGATGTGATCATGTGACTGCTCTTTGTGCCTTTCCTTTCATATGTTCTCTTCTACCCATGTCATGTCTGCCTAACTAAGCCATTCCACTGGATCCACCTGTATCATGAAGCGATCACATTCGAAATCGGTTCCACCGCCGCTGACCAACACCACAGGCAACGGCACCGCCTCTGGCGCTAACTCAAACAACAATAACAACAGCAACAANCTTCTACCCATGTCATGTCTGCCTAACTAAGCCATTCCACTGGATCCACCTGTATCATGAAGCGATCACATTCGAAATCGGTTCCACCGCCGCTGACCAACACCACAGGCAACGGCACCGCCTCTGGCGCTAACTCAAACAACAATAACAACAGCAACAACAACAACAACAACTACATGAATGCCTTTGAATCTGCTCAACCACCGGCTCAGTACCACCACCAGACTGTATGGCCATACAGTCGAGTAGACACCTCTCCACCGCCACCTTACAGTCGAGAAGGCTCACAGAAGTTGGCGCCACTACCACCTCCACCTTCACCCGGCGCTCCAGCTCAATCATCGACAATTCACCGATCTCACCGACAGGCGCCACTTGCTCACCTTCACAATGACAGACAGCCCGAGACCAGGTGAGTCTTTCTAAGGCAATGGTTGCTTTGACCAAGTTTACTTATATCCTTCCACTTTGTTTCAGCACTGAATACACTCCACTGCTGGATGATTTCACCCGCAAGTTTGTGGAGTCTCAAATGTCAGTGCCCAGCTGTCAGCAGGTGCACAGTTCGGCGTCGCAGCTTGTTCCCCCTGAACTGCTGGTCCTCTGTCAGCAGCAGTCCCCGTACAATCCCAACTTTGACTCCGTTTCGACTACCTCCTCAAACTCCTCCTTCACCTCTGAGTATTCACGTCCTAACTCTGCAAATCACACCGCCAGTTCGGCCAGTTGTGGCATTCTTCTGCCCAGCAGCTGGGCGCATCTGCGCTGGTTCACCGGCAACTTCATTCTCCTCGCCACACTGCTGTCCTTCAACCTGGGCATGCTCATCTCGCCGCAGTTCTACTCCAACTTTTTTCTCGTTTTTCAGAATCACAATCTAACTAGCAGTCAGATACGGGACAATCAAAAGTTTCTTAATCCAATATTCATTGACCTGCTCATTGCTTCGCTGATGCAAGTTGTGCTCACACTGATTGCCACCGGCAGTGGTCTCATTTTGATATACGCAGCATGCAAAGTGTTGGCCACACTGCGAAAGCGCTTTCAGCTCTCCGTCAAGTACCGCATTCACCTCTCCAATCAGACGCCCTTTCCCTGGTTTTTCATTACCTTTGAACGAATTGCATACGAAACACTGGGCGCCTTCTTTGCGCGAATGCTCTCCTTCATTCTGACGGTGTACCTCTTTGCCGTGTCGGTGCTCTACGTGATCGTCCTCTCCGACTACCTTGATATGCTACTTTCTCTGGTCACCTACGATCAAATTCGTCAGCTCTTCTGCGAGCAGCACGCTTGGTACCTCAGCCACGACTTTGTGATTAGCATTTGGCTGAGTGCCGTAGTCCTCGTCACCTTTGGCGTCAACTCTTTCCGCCGCCACAACAAGCACAAGACTTCACTGGGTCTACTCAAAAGCATGGCCGCCTTTGTTGGTGCACTCTCGGTCACCTACGTCATTTGCATTGTGATTTACGTTTTTGCTCACAGCGACATTTCTAGTCAATCAGGCCAACGCTTTGTTAAAGCACATCGAATGTTGTTTTCCTCTCCCTCCTCCTCTTCTTCCTCCAATTCAGACAATGGTCTAGTCTGCCTCAAACCGAACTCCACTTTTGATTGGACATGTCTTGACAAGAATTGGATTCTACTGATCTCCTCTGTTCCCCTGTTGATAATGCCATTTCATCTAAACGAGTTGCTCATCACCTTACTGTTTGCTTCGAAGCAAAATCAACCACTGCCTGACAGACCGACAGCAGTTGTTCCGGCAGCAACGGTAGTGTCCGCGGTCACCACCCAACAACAACAGGTGCCGTCTTCATCGGCAATGAGTGGCCTAAACAGTCCAGCTGTTGTCCAGTCAGACCGTCACCCATTGGCCACAGCTCCCTCGAATGGGTCCACCTTGCCGTCCTTTCCTCGAAGAGCACCACTCGAGTCTGATTCTCGCCATTTAGCGTGGGGTCAACAGCCGACTTTGACGATGCTTGACGATGCAGTGATTGGCGAGACGCCAAGACAGGAAGCGAACAGCCTCAACCCCCAATCAGCCAGTGAGCCGGTGATGCAGTTGACATCACTGTCCAGTCTCTTCAGTCGACCGCTGCACTCGTTCACCTCAGTTCGCAACCTCTTTGTTAGCGTCACCTTTTTCGTGTGCCTCCTCAACATCGCCATCAATGCTTTTGTCTACATCTCTGCCTTCAACGCTGTCGTCAGCCTCAACGACGTGCACACCCTGATTCCGGTCCGAATTCGAGAGCGTCTGGAGAAGGCCGATGATGACCGGCTGCCGCTGTTGGACTTTAACTTTCTGCGAAACTACCTGCACTTTCTGGCGCCATCGACATCGGAGGGGAAGCAGGACAGCAGCAAACAGGCGCTGAAGCGATACCTTCTCATTGGTGCCTCACTGTGCCTGCTGCTGAAGACGACACTGACGTACTTGCTGTTGGCCTTCAGAGCCACTCTCGCTCACCGCACTATGACCACTGGCACTAAGCGGGACGCATTCAGCGGCCTTCGACCTCGTTCCGGCCGTGCTCTTAGCAGCTTTCTGTTCATCTCCCCCTTTCTCGCTTGGAACTTTTTTGTCCTCCTCTTTTCGCTCTTTGTCGAGCGCTCGCAAACTCTACTGCATCTGGTTCTACTGGTCATCGGATGGTTGGGCTGTTTTCTTCTCTTCATCTACCCGGCGTTGATTTTACTGCACTTTAGCTTACAAAGCCTACAGAAGAATTCCCTTGCTCTTACCTCATCGTACGCCCTCCTCTCGGTGGCTTTCAAGCCACTTCGCTGGGCCAAATCGTGCTTCCTTCTCGGCCTATGTCTCCTCTCTGTGGGTCTCTTCTACTTAGTATTCTGGCTGTACGCCTACTTTCAGACGGCCAAGAGCACTGAAATGTCCATTTTGCCGCTAATAGCTCACAGCAATTCAAGCTTGCTCTACTGTTCACCAAGCTTGGCGCTTGCTTATTAGCAGCAGGTGTATATTTGGTTGCAATATTCGAAAAGTGTGCAATACATCCAATAAAACGGAACACCTCTTTTTTGCCGGTTATCACTGTTTGTTTAGTGTGTTTTTGTGATTGAACTTTATTGCTCACTTTTTCTCTGCTGCATCACTATGAGCTTTTCTGAATTCTCCATCGTGTACATTACCTTCCCCAACGAGGTGGAAGCGAAGAAGCTTGCCAAGTAAGAGCTTAAACTTTGGCGTTTTCAGATTGTTTTATCTCAACCTGGTGTATTATAAACCTTTCTCTTTACTTTTTCTTTAGGAAACTAGTTCAGGAAAACTTGGTCAACTTTGCCAATGTGATGCCTCTGATGCAGACCTACTATCGTGAGATCAAGGGCGCCGTCGAACTGGACGCCGAGGTGATGGTCATGGCGAAGATTCGCACTAGTCAGGCTGAAGAGATTATAGGCTACATTAGCGAGCAGCACCCCGTCAATTCGGCGCCGGAAATCTACACCGTGCCCATCTCGCACATGAGCAGCCTTCTGGCTGATAATCTCAAGGCTAACCTCAAGTCGCGCAAGAGCTAAAGAGCCGATGTGTGGTGCTGGGGGCGCACCTCGCACTCGGCGCTGTCACTCTGCGACGACTGCTGAATCTTCTTCAGCTCAACCAACTGTGTCACTTTTACTGTACACAAACTTGCTCTTTCTCTCTTGTTAGTCTGCGACTGCACTCTCAGTCGATTAAAGAACACACAGCTACTTGTGCAACCACCCATCGTCCGACGGCGAATTGTTCTGAGTCATTCTGTTGCCAAGAGTGCAAAAGAGTGCTTCCGACATAGCACTCTGGTGGCAGGAGAGCATTGCGAGGGAGATTGCGCCGATTGCTCCCTGCACTTGTACAATGTGCACTGCCGCAGTGATGGTGGTGCTGCTGTTGTGTGCATCATTGCGGTTGACAGGCAGACAGCAGACAGCAGCAATTGTTTTCCTCGGCAGACGATCGCCGATACCGCAGACTGCATGTCTGCTGACCAGTGGGTAATCTCACCTCTCTCCCTCCCTCGGCTGCCATTGTCTGCGCTTTCCATTGCCATACATCGATGCAATTAAATGCCTGCCACGTGTTTTAGAATTGAGTGGCGTTTCCTCGCAGATTCCTCCTCTACCAGCACTCCTCTACGACTCACGGCTCAGGGAGCTACTTCACCGTTACGACAGCGTTTGTTGTAGCAACAGAGTGCACATTACCTGTTAAAATGAATTCGGTTGAGACGGCGGACTACTCGGTCCTCTACGCCACATTTCCCAACCGGGATGAAGCGGATACTGTCGCACGGTATGTCAATTGTAAATTTCGAATGTAAGCGACAAATAAAACCATTTTTTCTCATTTTTACAGTCGACTGGTAAGAGAAGGCTTGGCAAACTTTGTGAACATCAATCCAGGAGCGACTACATTTTATCGTGAAAACGGCGACAGTGAGGAGGTCAGGAGTAACAGTGAAATACTAATGACTGCTAAAATTCTCACTCGGCATGCTGCTCGCATCGTCGCCTTCATCACTGCCGAGCACCCTCTGGATGACCCAGAAGTGTACACGACCCCAGTAAGTCACAGTTCGGCAGAAGCACTACAGAGTTCATTGGCACTAACGGTGGTTTTATACATTGCAGATTTCTCACCTCAGCGGACCACTGTACAGTAATCTCCTAAGCACACTTAGTTAGACTTCATTAATTTATTTATCAAAATCATCAGAGAACAAAGTGACATTTTCCCACCCCAAGAGATTCAAATGTGCAAATTAGATATTGCTGACGACTGCCAGTAGAGGAGCAATAAAAGTTTTAGGCACTCGTTGTGACTCCTTGAGTTTGGGATAAACCAAACCTGGTTCACTGAGGCACCTTGCTTCAGTACGGAACTCTCCGCAGGCCGATGCGACACTGCCGGCGCCGAAATTCTCCACAAAGTCCTTCACCATTCCTGCCGCCTCTTCAGTGTCACATCCTGGCTGCACTGTCAATGTCTTGAAGATGCATTTTTTAATTTGAATCAACTCGCAGCATAGTAGAGGCAGCTTTTTGCTCTTTTCAGCACTTTCCACTGCCAGTATTTTACTCTTGGAGATGTCGGCACACTTCACCAGCTGCTCATTGCCCGAAGTAGTGCAACTGCTCAGCTTGAGAAAGGTCTTCTTCTTCAACGACATCTCCTTTGATTGAAGTGATCGCTTGTTGCAGATTTCCTTAGTGTGCTTTTTTACGGTGAACACCAGCACGTTTATCAGGTTTTTGAAGTTTCCCTTTCCACAGCGCTTGTTAGTGTCTTCCACCCTGTGTAGTGCCTTTCCGAAAACGCTGTAGAGACAATGATGATTAGTCCAACAAAAAATAATAAATGTCAGTTGAATTTATTTTACCTGCAAAACTTTGGCAGATCGTCCACTGATGTTGGAGGCTTTACAGTTGGGTTTCCAAATGGCATGATACTCAAGATCAGCTCGTCCATGTCCTCTTGTGCATTCTTTCCACAGGTCTTTTTGGCAGGCAGTGCGCTGGCGGTGGTAAAAATGGTGAGTGCTGCCAGAAGGAGCAGGAGGACGGTTTGAGCAGACAAAACGAGAGCCATTTGGGAAATGAACACTTCTCTTGTGACGCTAGTCAACACTGGTTGAAGAAAGTATGGCAACGGGAATGCTGACCACATGACTGCTTGTACAAGTCTTTTATACCACTCTGTTCGGAATGCAGAACCGGTACTGTGTAGTTGATTCAGTGCAGATTGCAGGTAAGAAGTAAGGAGGAACATATTTTCAGTGTCCATTCAACAAATTTCTGTTCTAACTTTTAGCACCACTATAATCAACGATCACTGAACCCGGTAATAGGCACAAAAAATGAATGCCAACAGAGAAGAGAATAGTCTTCTCTGACTGTTCCTAATCTTGTCGATTGCCACTGCATTTTTATTCAGCTGTTGCACTTTCGGAGAACTTGTCAGCTGTTTGAAATTGTTGACAGTCGATAAAGTGTCACAGGTGTTGCCGACCTGCCATCATCGAGATTAGTCGGCAGACGACTTCTCTTTCACAGACTCGAAATGTTTTGTTTATTATGTTCACAAACAAAGTCATGCATTCAAAGGAAAGGACAGAACAAATTAAAAAACAGGAGACAATCAAAAGGAAATCAAATGCATTATTGGCAAAGTGGTGCCGAGGGACTAAATAAATAAAGCTGAAAAATGATCACGGAATATCATTGCCCAATGATGTTTTTTATTTGGCGCGTTTGAGAATCACTTGCACTCTAAGTAAACGGAGTCTTAAGACGATGAAAATCCTGCGCCAGCTCGTTCAATTCATGCTCAGGTTGCCCGTTGTTGGCCGTAAATGGCTGCTGCAGTGAGGACACATTGGCAGTGGGGGCAATGATTGCCATTGAAGTGTGGCTTGCAACAACATCAGNTTCAATTCATGCTCAGGTTGCCCGTTGTTGGCCGTAAATGGCTGCTGCAGTGAGGACACATTGGCAGTGGGGGCAATGATTGCCATTGAAGTGTGGCTTGCAGCAACATCAGCAGCAGCAGGTGCTTCGCCACCTTCACTCGATGACACATCCGCACTGCAGTGCATTACTTTAAGTCTTTTGAAAGTAACGTCCCAGTCAGGCGACAGCGGGCTATTGGCAAAGATAGAGTTGAGGTCTTTGCAGACAGAGTTCGATATGGTGTGATAAGGAGAGGAATACTTGGATGGCGATGAGGAATGGAGCCGCTTCTTAAGAGGCGTGGTAAGCGAAGAAGACATGGTCAGCGCAAGTTTAGGTGTTGCTGAATTGCTGCTGTAGTAGTAGTTGCCATTTCCGTTGTTTCCGATTCCGTTGCCGATTAAATTCAACGCGTTTACATTTAACTTTTTATACCCCCGACAGTGATTGATGCCATTTTTGCTGCAGCCTCCAGCCATCGAGGTGGTTGAGGTAAACGTTGAAGGAGAACTCACTGAAAGAAAACAAGTGTCATTTTAATTGTTCTTTTAAAAAAATTGCTGAATACATACTGTAGTTGTTCTGGTTCTCAGCCGGTGTATACGACGCCAAGCTTCTTCTAGCTTTGACGCGCAAACCTTTAATATAATCACTTTGAGATGGAAAGAAATCATTTCCCATAATAATTTCATCAGTTGAGATCAATGGCACTTCTTTGTCATATGAAGTGAGAATAGCTTTTCCGCCATTATTTGCAACGACTTCCATAGGAAAGTCGTCAGTGTGCGAATCATAACTTTTGTTGACAATTTTGAACAATTCACTCTCGATAAATTCGCTCATTCTACTGTTGCTTGGTGAAAGACTCAAATCATCGCTGCTAACGGAGAGAGAACGTTGCATCGATGCCAACAAAACCTCTCTTCGCAAGTCTTTATTGCAGGGCTTGATGAAAGACGGATTCAGCTTGACATCAGGCTCGGGAACTTCTTCCTCTTCGAGCGCTTTCGCGCAGCTGCCTAGTTGAATGAGCTTTTTTTTCGTGATTAGAGCTAGATCACAAAAAGTGACATTTCCATTGTCTTGTAAGGTGTCCAGCCTGACTGGACTTGCACTCGAGTGAATAGAGTACCGTCGCTGGCGTTGGGCAGAGATTGGTGATGCTGTTGGTAAGGACATTGGTGGCGGTGGATTCGTCGAATGATTGTCGCTGGCCGGAGTTGATGACGACTGATTTGACAAGAGTGAAGAGCTTGCGGACAGAGACGAAAAAGTGTTTTCAAAAAGACTTTTCCTCTGCGCCAGTGGCGATGTTGGCGAGGACACTGAGCGGTCAAGCGGTAGGTGGTGCATCGTTTGCTTATCGCCTTCAGATGTGGTTGACTTGGAATCGGGCGCAAAATGAGCCGCGCCATCATTGTTACAACAGGCCTCTTCAAATTCAAAGTACATTCCAAAACTGCAAAAAAGAAAACTAAGTTCTATGATTTTATTCTTATCAAAACAAACAACATACCAAAAAATTACGATGAAAAAAGCAGTAAGATAAAGAAAAGAACCTATAACCTCTCAATGCCTGGCACAAAAAGAATGAAGGTGAAAGAGATCAAAAGTACTGATGCATCGTAGGTTGGAAATACATTTAATTTTTGTAAATGCTGGGTTAAATAACAGGATCTCTAAATAAATGCAATCGTTTCAGCTCTACTGACAACAAATCAAAATGATTTTGCGTCGAAACATCGTCACCACAGCTGATTCGAACGTCACCTGGGCTTGGGGAAAAATGAATGCATTGATTGCCAAATGGTTACAACAAGAACAAGAACACTAAAGAAAGCTTTTAGCTTTCAGCAGCTGATGCTTTAGCAACTGTTTACTTTTTTTTACAAAAAAACTTGAGTCGCTCCACTCACAGAAGACGTGACGCTGGCAACAGACAACCCAGTCACAAGAGCGATCGATGTTCCAAATACAAGAGTTCATTTACATTTATTGACTTGTTCATGCTGGTCCTTGGTGCGAAAAATTGGGGAACAATAAAGTGCAACTTGTGATCACAACATATCAATTTAGCCTTCTCCTAAAGGTGTGTGAGAGTTTTCGACTATATTTGGATAGTGATGCCTTTAAGGATTTGAAATGGCCTTTCAATTTGAAGAATCGCCTCTTAACGTCCACCCAAAACTTGTCCACGGCCCCAGTTGTAGCCACCCGACGATGCAGGCGCCGGATCAGGGCCTGGATTTCGGCGATTTCGAACTGAAGATGCAGTCTGAAATGAGTTAAGCGTTGAACCAGTACTCCGCATTGGGGTAAAGCTGGGAAGATAGCCATACAGAAAATTGGGCGTATTGATCAACTGAGCGCCACCATTGTCCTGAGGGTACTTGTACTTGACGTAAAAGTACAAATGACCAACAATAATTCCAAGAATTTCATTGAAGCCCCTAAAATAAAGGCGTTAGTAGTAAACGCGATTATGAATAAAAAGTAAAGTTTTAAATTACCCAGAACCAAGCAACAGATTGAAGCCACAAAGAACCCACGGCAAATAGCGGGCCTTAAATCGCGTTCCAAACCAGAAGCTAACAATTAGCTCTGGATTCAGGTTACACCAAACGTAGAGCACGCTCAAAATGAGTGGATCCATCAGGAGGTAGAGGTTCATGAATATGCCCATTAACTGTAAAAATCATTAGTTGGCAAAACTTGTGGTAATTCAACTTTGTAGGTGTACTTGCCACAAGAGCGGCCCAATTGAACATGAGCATAAATAAATAATCGGCTGGTCTACCTGTAAATTCATTTGTTTCTAGATTTTTCGAGTAGTTGTAAAGGAAGTACAGGTTGATCAGGTAGTGAAATCCGGTCCCAGGTGTGAGTGGATAGTAGAAGGTTGCAGACAGAGGACGCCATAACTAAACAAAACACAGAATTGAATCAGAACTAAACCAAATTGCACTAAACTTACGTGTAGCTTTGTGATAAAATCCGACGTTAAAATCATATAGTATGCGTTTAAAATGCCAAGGCGACCGATGAGGGGAAAGGCCACCGAGAGGCCAAACCAAGCCCGTGTGATGGGCGGCATTGAAAGGAACCATTCTTTTATTTCCGACATTTTGAGTCTTGTTAATGAGGAAAGTGGTGTTTACTTGAGATGATAGAAGGATACAATGAGAAGACAGAGAACAGGCGAGCACCACTACTATGAGGTGGTGCTCGACGTCAAGGCCGCAAAACACTCTCGCTGAGAGTCTTCTCTAATCGGCGTCACCTTGAGGTGAAGGTATCTTGTGGGCGAAAACAGACTAGACAGGTTGGCAGAGCGCCAGAAGAGTCCAGGAAAAGTCCAAAAGACTGACGAAGACTGGCTCAGAGACAACTGAAATGAAATGATGCAAAGATGCTGCAAAATTGAATGTGTACACAACTTTGCCAGTGCTGCATCATCATTTGCTTGATAACACAGCTGGTGGCACCCGTCATAGACACTGTTACCCTATTCTCGCGGGAATTTAAAGACGGGACAAGTTTTAATCAGTGTTCGGAACTGCTTTTATTTATCACTTGAATAGTAGGGATAAAGTAGGGAATATTCTCCTGGGCGTAGGGTCAGTGCAAAGCTAAACAACACAATTTGGGTAAGAAAAAATGAATCATTTTAATGGAAAAAACGACCAATTTCTGAATGGGTTTTGAATTTAGATAATAAAAAAGCTAGCCGCTACATTGTGGAAATGGAAGTAAAATTGTACTGGTCCACCCATTGGCTTGGCGGCTGCACTGAGCAACTTTAAGAAAGCTGGCCACAGTCAGCAATGACGATCTTCTTGTTGGTCTTGCCGGACTGGGTACCGAAAGACTCAATCTTCTTGACGACGTCCATGCCGTCTGTTAAGAAAAATGAACATTGTCATTAGAACAAAGTGGCAAGTGTTTTTAAATATCGTAAGCTTACCAGTAACTGAGCCACAGACAACGTGCTTTCCATCGAGCCACGGGGTCTTCACAGTGCAGATGAAGAACTGCGAACCGTTGGTGTTGGGTCCAGCATTGGCCATGGACATAATGCCAGGACCAGTGTGCTTCAGGGTAAAGTTCTCATCCTCGAACTTGTTACCGTAGATGGACTTGCCACCAGTTCCATTGTGGTTGGTGAAGTCACCACCTTGCAGCTGAATTAAAACAAAGTTATTAGTATTTTAAACTTTTTGCTAATTAATAAAATGAATTACCATGAAGTTGGGGATGACGCGGTGGAAGATGGAGCCCTTGTAACCAAATCCCTTCTCGCCGGTGCAGAGGGCGCGAATGTTCTCAGCAGTCTTGGGAACAACATCGTTACGGAGCTGGAGAATAGCAGAAGAGGAAATTAGTAAANCAAATCCCTTCTCGCCGGTGCAGAGGGCGCGAATGTTCTCAGCAGTCTTGGGAACAACATCGTTACGGAGCTGGAGAATGGCAGAAGAGGAAATTAGTAAAGGCAGACGAATGGCAGCATAGAAAGCGCCACCATGGGGACTGCANTACCATGAAGTTGGGGATGACGCGGTGGAAGATGGAGCCCTTGTAACCAAATCCCTTCTCGCCGGTGCAGAGGGCGCGAATGTTCTCAGCAGTCTTGGGAACAACATCGTTACGGAGCTGGAGAATAGCAGAAGAGGAAATTAGTAAAGGCAGACGAATGGCAGCATAGAAAGCGCCACCATGGGGACTGCGGCAGACTGCGNCCGGTGCAGAGGGCGCGAATGTTCTCAGCAGTCTTGGGAACAACATCGTTACGGAGCTGGAGAATAGCAGAAGAGGAAATTAGTAAAGGCAGACGAATGGCAGCATAGAAAGCGCCACCATGGGGACTGCGGCAGAGTATTCGAGTGCATTCTCAATGGCAGACAGTGAGCTTCCCGGCGGTGAAAGCATGGCAGGCAGACTGGTGGTGCCGGCAGTGACAGGCAAACACGCCAAAGTGCATCACACGCCGGTATTTGGGCAAAAGTAAATTTAGACTAGCACAGAAATAAAGTCGGCTCAAATGGCATGAAAACGACACCAGAAATTGGTGTAGAATCATCCGCCGGAAATGACAGTGGGCTGCAGGCATGGCTTTTCGCGCCTCCAGATGAGCTTATCCGGCGTGGTGCTGCTGCCGCTGTTGGATCTATCTACAGTATATGATCATCATTTTCTTGGCATAAGCATGACAGTGCTATCTAATAAATGATCAAATATAAAAAAACTAAACAGTCGAGGGGAAGAGGTTCCAGCTTTGGCTCAAGGTCAAAAGGGTATCTTGTGGTCACCACAACGCTGTGGCTGGATCAGACGACTAGCATAGCACATTTCGGCACTTACCTCGATGACAATGCGACCAAGAGGGGCACCATCGGCGGTGACATCGAAGAAAACCTTGGGCTTGGACATGGTTTTAGCGGTTGATGCTTTCTGGTGACGATCGGGACTCTTCTTGACAGGATTCGACTTGGAAGTGTGCAGCGAACGGCTCGGCTTGATCGGCGGCGTCGTCGTTAGACTTTTGAGGCTTGCGCTGTGGAAAGTGCGAGAAATCAGGGCGGTGCTGCCGGCCGGGGTGCCTGCTGAAAAGTGCTGTGTCTGAGCGGTGAAGAGCAGGGAGGACTGGCTGATGGTGGTGGTGCTTTTGTGCACGCTACGAAGTAAGTGGCCAGTTGATGACGTCACTCGCAGAAGCAATCTGGTGGACAGTAGGGACATCTGGGGGACAGGTGTGGCAAGAGAACGATTTAGAAGTGCTAGAGTAAGGCTGCCGGTGACAATTAGTAGGCAATCGATGCAGCTCTAATTATGGCCAGGGAACGAGGGCCCTTCGAGGTTACTCAAGTGCATGCACTCATTCACTCACTCACTCGATGCACACTCACTGGTCAACTGAAAGCAGTCTACTGAGCTCACAGTGATCATCAGTGAGTGCACCACTATCGCTAAGAGATTCCTGATGCCATGCTCATCGACAGTCACCCAACTCATCAGGCAAGGTCAGACAATGACAGAGACTACTGGTGATATCAGAGAAGAGCGAACGAACCTTTGGTTGGCAGGCAAATCACCAGTGAGCAGTTGCAACGATCAATGTCAATTTACAGCACGGACAAGAGGGGCTCGCTATCGTTAACGAAAATAGATATACAGCGGGAGAGAAAAAAGAAAGAGAGAGAGAGAGAAAGAGAAAGTTGCAGTTTCTGGCACTCGATGTAGAGAATGTGAGAGAAGATTGCAGAAACCGGTGATTCAGTGACACTGCACCAGAAAGAATGTAAGCACTCAATCGCTGTTGAAAGTGTGTGCTCTGAAGACAGGAGGTCAGAAAGTGCTGCTGAGATGCACGTGAGATCAACAGACTGCAGACAGTGTTTTCTGGCTGGCCGCTGAAGCGTTTGCATGTCGCCCGAAGACGCATGCTCCAAACTCCACTACTCTACGGCTTTCATCGCATCAAGTCGGTTAGATTTAGGTGCTCTCTGTGTGGCACAGCCAGTTCAAAACGGTGCCTGCCATTCTCGGTGCACCTACCGTTGGCGCCATATCTGTTGCATTGCAGTAGAGCAGTTCCATTCTCTTATGCAAAACTTGGGGTTTCTTCAACCACTGGTTAGTGGACACTTTTTGTCCACTGACTTTTCTCCATTGTGTGGAGGTAAGCCTGACTAGAGCAGACCACAGCTAATTTGCCTCCGTCTCTCCCACATTCCTAAACTGCGGCCGTCGCCACCATAGCCACCACCACCACCACCACCACCACCACCACAACTGACTGACCTTTCCTCTGAACAATGGACAGCGCAGACATGGCTAGGCTAGGGTCAGGCAGCAGATAGAGGGGACACATCTGCGGGCCTAAGGCGGGCAGAGAGACTCGGGCAGTCGGTGATGGATGACCGCCGCCGCTGGCCACTGAATGGTCAGTTGAGAGAGCCCTTTAACTCTCCCACCACTTTTGCCACCACCACCGGGCCACAAAGTGCCTTGACCTCGGCCCAGTTGGGACATTTAAACAGTGGCGTGGAATGTTCCCTCAAACTCAAACGAGTTGACAAAAACAGACACCGTCATGGGAACGTCTCAGCCAGTTGGCAGGCCCTCTGGCTCCGAGTATTTAAAGGAGGACAATGATCGTTGGCGGGGCATTTAACTTTTGTTGACCAAACGGTCACGGCAGGTCATCCTGGGACCCAAGAACTGCAACCATGTTGAGAGTGATTTTGCTCTTGTGTTTTGCACTGGCGAGCTGCCAACAAGCCACTGCCGTTTGGGTATTAATGCTTCAAAGTACTTGAGTAATAATATCTTAATGACACTCTCGTTCCACAGCCATTTGCCAGCGGAGAACGATCTTCAAGCTCGAACGTCGATTACACCAACACCATCAACTCTGCCATTTCTAGCCTCCCCAATTACATCAGCTACGTCTCCAGCCAGCAGCAATCGGCTCAGCCCCAACTACTGAACACTGACGGAGAAGTGGTTGCCTCCACGGGTCACCTGGGCACCACCACAGAAGTGAAGCCATCAGGAGTGGTCAGCCATGGCGTGAAAGGGGTCACTCGATACCCAACTCAAAGCAAGGGAACTTCTCAGCAACCAGTCCAGCAACTGCAGGACATATTTTCTTCTCAGCCGGCAAACATTTTCGGCGATGGTTACCTTGAGCCGGTCGTTGTTGGCGGTTCCAGTAGTCCCTCAAATGTAATCACAGGTATCGTTAGTATAACTGACAATAAAGAAAAGGAGGGTGGTTTCTTTCGATCCTTTCTTCCCTGGAGATGGGTCAGTCGAACCGGCAATGGCGCACCAGCTCCTGTGGCGGACGAGTCTTCTAACCAGGTAACATTTAATCAACCGAAAACAATTTCTTTGTTTCAATTCAATAAAATATTGGTTCTTTTCAGCAACCATCGGCTCCAAAGCGTTCCTGGCCTTGGTTTTTCAAGCAGCCCAGTCGAAAGACTTCTGGACAACAGGCAACTTCAGCGAACTGCTTCTGCATTCCAAACGGCCTTCAGACGACAACGTTGAACCAGCCGCATCTTTACCAAACTGAGCAGCAGCAACCACAACAGCAGACGCAGCACCAACAGCACACCCAGTCACAATACTCCAATGAAGAAAGCTCAGCTTTTGGCAATGTCCGACCAGTCGAGCCGTCGTCTGATTTCGATAGCGATGGCTCTAATCCAGTTCCTCTAGTGGTGCCTGCTCCTTTGCAGGTGGTCAACGGACAGCAGCAACAGCAGCAGCAGTCACAGCAGCAGCAAGTGCAGCAGTCTCAGGTAGTTAACGGTGGCACTGGCGCAGACTTGCTAGCCAATCATCGTTCGCAGCAATCACAGCCGCAGCAGCAGACACAACAGTTTGTTCAGCAGTTCCAGGCAGTTCCAGTTGTGGCCAACTACCAATCGGCTCCACAGCAGCAGCAACCTGCTGAAACTGGCAACCAGCAGACCAACTCTGGACAGGTGGCCAGTGCCAACTAACTCGTCACCGCACACTTTATCCTCTAAATTAAACATTTCTGTAACTCACAAAATATTCACCACAGTTTCAATATTTTTTGCCTGTTTTTAAAAGAATGTAATCCAATGTACTGCCCAGAACAATATACCCATCAAACAACTAATTAAAGACATACTGTCATTTGAAATGACTCATTTCTCAAGTTTTACTGGTAGATTTTGCCCCCATTTACTGTCGCCGGCCGGCAACACTTTGGTTTACTTCTCTGGACGCCTTTCAGTTTTCATTGCAGTCTGTCGGTCAGGAGCAAAGTCTGTGCCGGTGACACTTGGGTGAACTGCTTTTCCACTAAAGTTGGCCATCTGGTCACGCGCCAGCCGCCGCATCTACACGTCGCCACTGCGACACTGCACTCTCTTTATGACGGCCAATTAGCAGTCTCTTCATCAGTGCTCACTGCAGCTGGCAATGGCACGCGTTCTGATTGCCACTTGGGCGCTTCCTCTTTATTACCACCTTGCTGTCGTCGAGCAGGTTCATCACAACAGGATCAGGCATTGATGGTATTGCTTAAGCACAGCGCAGACTACTGTGCCTGGTGCATCACGCGTCGGCGGAATCTTTGCCAAATAGCAGCCAAACAAAAGAGTTTCACTGAAGCGACAATGCCGATTGCGCTAATTGCGGTAATTTCATCACTGTCAACTCGGTGTCGATTCACTGGTCAAGGTTTGGCTGCAGTGAAACCATGACAGTTCCATCGATTTATATGAAGGGCAATAAAGTACTAATGTTGTAAGTAGCAGTAAGTGGCAGGAGCAGCTCTGGCATGTTCATGGTAGCAACCAGTGGCTGGTCAAACCACCGTCTGTAATGGTTTGCGAGTGTGCGCCCTTTGGACTGTCAAATTGGACCAATAAAACTTAAAAATACGTGCTGCCTGGTTGTTGGGGAGACGCCTGATGCTCGTGTCATCTCACACTGCTCTCCTTTTTCCGTCATTTGCCCTTCTTATCTTCATGAATGGTCGTGTCTGGTCTGAATGGTACGTCAAGCGTAGGCGTTCTTTCTGAGGCCTTACAGCACACGCACTCACACCGACAGTGAAAACTGTGATTTGACGTACTATGTGCCCTAATCTGTGTTCTCACTGTTTCAGTCTGTCAGCAGCCGCATCAGTGATTAACCTTCTGCTAATTAGTCTCCTGATTGGATGCACCGTACTTAGCTGTCATTGCTACTGCTTCTGCTACTACTTCTATGTTATTGTGTGTCTGTCTGTCGGCACCTCATCAGGACCGACAAGGGAGAAAGGGAGACTCTAGCAAGCAGTCAGCATTTGAATGTTGTCAATGCCGGCTAATCCCGCTCGGGAGATGTTTCTTGTGCTTATTGCTTAGTGCCTAGCGATCCTTTAACACAATGTCAGCGTCAGCGTCAGCCAATTTAAGTCTCATTTACTAATTAACGATGCATGTACCTTATCGATAACTGTTTTATATATTGTTTGTTAATATATAATTTTAATAACTTGTAAGTTCCCAATCCTTCCTTGCTATCAGCACACAAAAGAGGGAAAAAGGTGATTCAAATAAACATTCTCGATGATTAGAGCGTAATCAGGAGAAGACACAAAAAAATATGCTTAAAAATAACACTGATTTGTTTTTGCATCGAGTTAAAAACAGTTTAATAAATTAAAATATGAAAAGTGTCATTTAATTCTAATGGGTCTTGTTTGTTTATTTTTAACAACGTTGCATCTTATCGACCACTTTTATTTGTTCCAGAAACCAAGTCACAGAGGATCACTGTTTGCGCACGTCAATGGGTGCATCTTAATCCACTGGCATCTAAATACAATTTGCACCCATGTAAGAGAACACTACTAGTTGCCATATTTGTCAATACATAAAACCTAGTAGGTGCACTAATCCAACAATCGATTAGTCGGCATCAAGCCCAATTGCCAGTGCCCTAATCGACATTGATCTACAGAGTGAATTTAGAGCGCGTTTTATATTTTCATTATCAACAAATTACAGCGTTTTACCACTGTGCCTCTCTGTTTGATTTGTGTTTTTTCCTGAGTGGAAAAGAGACATTACAAAAAATGGTTAAATCCTCAACACAGTCCATTAAAAGCGGTCGCGCGACACCAAACGAACGCTCAATGACACCAACAAAGAACCAGTCAAGAAGTCAAAGCCGAAGGGTTTCAGTGGCTCAATCGCTGCACAAGGCCTACGGTGAGGTGAAGAAAAAAGGACTGTGTAAGTGCACTTTATAAATACAAAAAGCTGTTAAAAACTTGAAACAATTTTCTCAAAACACTCTTCGTTTGTCTCTTCTTTAGACAATGCCATTCCAACTCGATACGTGGTTGTATTTGTGGCTGCACTTGGTAAGCGGAAAAGAGACTACTATCTGAACTGTGCTAATTTACGTGTGATTATCTTTGCAGCCAACACAATATCGTACACTATGCGAACTAACATGAGCGTAACCATTGTGGCCATGGTCAATCACACCACTTCCAGCAGTGATCACGGCAATTCCTGCCCAGTGCCAGATGACGGCTCCGGATCTAGTGGGCCTGAAGTTGTAAGTTTTGTGTCATATTTGCAACATTTCTTTTCCAACAGAAATTCATACTCAGCTTGAACTTTTCAGGAAGGGCAATTTCATTGGGATGAAACAATGCAAGGGCACATTTTGGGGTCGTTTTACTACGGATACATTGCCACCAATATAAATGGAGGTCAGCTGGCAGACATGTTTGGCGCCCGTTGGCTCTGCGGCATAGTGACACTCATTTCTGCCATCTTCACGCTGCTCACTCCGGTCGTCGCCCGATGGGATGTGAACGCCCTTATTTTGTTGCGAGTGGGCACTGGTCTGTGTCAGGGCGTCCTCACTCCAGCCATTTACAGCTTGCTTGCCTACTGGATACCTAAAAATGAACGTGGTCTGGTACTGGCTCTGATTCAAGTTGGAGGAAATTTAGGCGCCGTTGTCTCGACCATCTTTTCAGGTAAACTCATTTTGAGTTGTACTGGAAAAGTTTATTTTTTTGTTTATGTAGGTTTCCTTTGCAAATATGGTTTTGATGGCGGCTGGCCATCTGTGTTTTACATTTTCGGAATAATTGGATTGTGCTGCTTTGCCTTGTGTAAGTAACAAACGAAAAATGTTCTGTAAAAATTGTTTCAAGTTTATAACGGGTTTTTTACTTATAAAGGGATGATTTGTATTTATGATAGTCCAGACCAGCATCCAAGAATTCATGATGATGAACTGCTCATGATTAAACTCAATGTGAGCACAGTCAATACAAAAAACAGCAAAAATAAGAAAACTGTACCATGGATTGCCATCATGACCTCGATGCCTGTGTGGGCCATTTCAGTGGCCAAGTTTTGCGGTGCGTGGGGCAACTTGATGTTGATGAGCAAGCTTGTAAGTACACGACGAGTACATGCAATTATTTGTAAAACTTATTTGTAAAACATAAAACATTTTTTACACATTTTAGCCTTCTTATCTTAAGGTAAGCGTTGATGCTGAGTGTTTGGCACTGCAATCTAAGATAAATTTTAATTTGTTTAAAAACAGTCTGTTCTTCATGTATCTATTCAAAACGTAAGTTTATATCAATTTCCTTACTTTAGAAAACTACAATTTTTTACTTTTTAGAACGGCTACATCACGTCGGCTGTGTACATTGCTTTGAGCATTTCACTGACCGGATTTGGTTTTATTTCAGACTACATTGGACAAAAGAAACTAGTAAGTTCATGTTTATGATGAATGAACAATGTTTATGTTAACGTTTTTTAACAGGTGAGTGACACACTTTCAAGAAAAATATTTGAAACAATAGCCCTCGTTGGACCGGCCATTTGTCTGATTATCATTCCGCAGTTGGGCTGCAGTCTCACTGGACTGGTGACCCTGCTCATTGTTGCAATGGTTATATTTGGCCTGAATGCAGGCGGTGACAAGCCGGTTGTCGTCGATATTGCTCCCGATCACAGGTCAGATCAAAAGAGTTAGCGTCGCTTTGCGTTTTAAACAAACTCGTTTCTTTTTCTTTCAAAAATTCAGCGGCACTATCTACGGAATTACCAATGCAATTGCCTCACTGCCTGGCATTCTGTCTCCTCTGGTTGTCGGATTTCTCATAAATCTTGTAAGTATGATTACAAATTAATTATACGTGGTTTAACACACTTGACCTTTTTTAGAAAAGTGGCATCGAAGGCTGGAATCTGGTGTTTTACTCTGCTGCAGGCGTTTACATTTTTGGAATGCTTTTTTTCCTCGTCTTTGCCACTGCTAAACCGCAGCCGTGGGGCACAATGCCACGATCGCGTCGAGCAACAGCGTACTCCCGTTACTCGGGCAACAGTCGGATTGCCAGTCGAGCAGCTAGTCGAGGCCCGAGTCGGAAAGCCACCTTCCTCGAGGCTAACGGCAGTCGAGCGCCCAGTCGTCGAGCTACATTCCGTCAGCAGCAACAGCAGCAGTCTAACACAAACAGCCACCTCAGCTCGGCCGTCACCACGCCTCATCAGGGAAGAAAAACAGTGCAGACTGATCCAGAGGCGGCAAACAATGGTGATATCTACACTATCGATCTGAACAAGGCAGTGAACAAGCAGTTGCAACAGCAACTCAGTGACCGAATCGAAGGTGCTCCCTTGCCAGAGGACAGAGCACAAGCGGCTACTGCTGAAGTGCTCGACTATGAATACAGGGGCGATTTTGAGTTTGACGAGGACTTTGATGATGACATGGATGAGGAGTACCTCGATGAAGAGGAGGAAAAAGCGCACCGCCTGCAATTCTTTCGAGAGCGTCGCTTTAGTGTTTTTCCAATTTCATAGTAATCTCCTGTTCCTGTTGTATTCCCAACCGTCCTCATCACCTAGTCATTCTTTACAATACCATTTGTTAGTGCAGCATCATTTTTGTACATAACCATAGTTTGTTTATTTATTTAAAGTTTAAAGGCGGC